AAATATTGTCACCATTAATCCAAAGACCCACCAAATTCGTGATTTGAAACGTTCTATGCATTTTATTTTATTTATTTATATGACTGCACTAGATCAACGAGAAGGTAAAAACAGTCCATCAATATTAGTAAAGCTTAAAATAATAAGCGATGGCGATTAAAACCTCGATAAGTGCTTTAAGCTACTTTGTATTCATATTCGATTCTGTATATCGATTAACGATATCAAACGCAGTTTGTATACACCGACCCTGTAACTGTCATTATTGCAAAACCAAGCTTGGAACAACCCTATAGTATAGGCATTCTGTTTTCAACCTTACCGCTTGCGAAATAGAGTTCAAAACAGATGATGTAGATTTTGCAGTAAGTACTACTAGTGACGTAGTGAGTCAATAACGACGGCTTAGCGGCATCGATAACTTTGTGTTTTCGATGTTTATGTGTTTCGCTTCGTTCACACCTGTATGAAATAGATGAAGGCATATTCGCTACTATGTAGATATACGAAATAACTGAAAACAGATTATTTTAATTTATTTATTTACGTCTTACTATAAAACATTGATTTTTTTAATTGAGATGACAACGTCAGTCACGTCTATAAGGACCCGACTAGTTTCTCCCAATACCAACTACTACAAAAAGAGGGCGCTAGCGAAGCATATTTGAATTTGACATTAGTCCAATACAAGTACAATAGCAGTCCTCCGTGACCACGGCAGCTACGAAACATTGTAAACGTCCGGCCGTAGTTAATAGTTATAGATAAATTAACTGATACATTTCACGTTTTAAACCGATAAAAATGTTTTATGTAACTCGAAGTCTGCTACTATCGTTATTTATTGTGGTATTGTGAGATTGAATTACGTCTAATTATTTATTTTATCAGGTATTTTTTAAGATAGTGGACTGACAGGCACGGGGTTCACTTTGTGGTGAAATTCCCCAGCTATATAACACATTAACAAGATGTGCTGTCTACCTATGTTGGCTTTGGAAATCTGCGGACGGTACTTAGTGACCTATATAGGGAAAAAGATTACTTCCACCCAATTAATATCAAAACAAGAAGCACGTTTCAGAAATTTAATAAATTCGTTAGGACTCGAGGATGGGTTCGCCATGACCCAAAATTATTGTTCTTAACCATACATCGCTACCATTAAACCAAAGAGCCCTTAGAATAATAAACATTAAAATTGTCAAAACCGTGCGGCACGGAGCGAACAAACGTGTCGATTCTATAGATTTAACTTACAGGCAATTAACAAAAGAATTTCTTTTCGCTTCCTCGAAATCGAATCTACAACCACCGAGCTTAATTGCACACTAAGAAATAAAACACGTACCTTTATAAAAGAACAAAGCAATCATAAGTGAGATATACAATAGTAGAGGACAATTAGTCGTCTCGACGAAGCCATACATGTAAGCTGGCGGCAGACGCGTTTTATTTCGTCTACTTGTCATAAATGTACGTATAGGCCTTTTTATTACACAGCCATTACGTGATTTGTCGTAATCTATGTGAAAGGTTACGTAACGGTAGCTCAATTAACACGAGTACGACATGAAAATGATTTTTAACGTCGGGCCGAAGTTAAAAATAATTTTCAAATAAGTTTAACTAATATATCGCGTTTTAAACCGTTAAAGTGTTTTATTTAAATAGTTTAAAAGTATTTGTCTGTAGTTTACGAGAGTAGTATTAAAAAACCCTCAGCCGTAGTTAAATTAAATTAAAAATACTGCACTAATATATTTCCCATTGTAAACCATTAAAAGTGTTTTATAACATACCGTCGACTTTATTACATACTAATATTATAAAGCCGAAACTTTGAACGCGCTAATCTCGTGAACGACTGGTTCGAATTTTTTTTTTTTTGGTGGAAACCTTTTGTCGCGGAAGGCTTAAGTTATAATACAAATATAAAAAAACACAGGGAAATGAGAAAAAACGTTAGATGATCTAACCAAAAAAAGAATTGCAATTAGAAACCGTATTTTCTGAGATTATGCAAACATAAAAATAAACTATTCATCAGTAACGATTCTAGAACCAACTTAGTGAATTTTACAATTTTTTTATTAATTTAGTAAAATAATTGCTAAACCTCACTCTAGGGACAATTTATTTCTATACATCTAAAATATGGCATCGCTTCTATAAACATGATCAGCTTAACCCAGAATCAACAAAGCAGAGCTATTCCTACCACTTGCCTCGACCATTATTATCATACGCCACTTAAACTATCCACTGTTTTACTTCTCGGCTTGAACACAACTTACATAGGGGTGTGTTACCGAGTTTATTAAAACGGAAAATAATTTAATACTTTTTTGAAAGTTTTCTTGTTCTACTTCTATATAGCAAATGTAAGGTAACGTGATATATGTATATTACTTAAACTTATTTGAACATATTATTGTCACCCCATGACCACGGCTGCTGCAAAATCCGAAACGTCGGGCCGTAGTTAAAATAGTTTTCAAAAAAGATTAACTAATCATAATTGAGTTTTAAACCGTTAAAGTGTTTTGTTTAATTATTTAATAATAATAAATAATAATTTGTTTATTAGACCTGACTATATTATAATTTGATGTACTCGACAAGTTGATGTTGGATTATTGGATATGAATGATTGGATAAGAATTTAAGAATGATAATATAGATCTAGTCATCACCTGCTTTATGTTTTTGCTTGTGTGTAATTCGTTTTTCTGTATGATTACAAGTAAGCCATAAGGTTTAGCTCCAGCTATGTTTATTCACCTGTAATTATCGGACAGCCTATTTATTCAAACAATTGCCATTAAAAGAAGCCATTTTATGCTCATAAGAAGCATGTAGTCAAATATACTAGACGTTTACATTGCTACCCTGTACTGTACTACCTACCTAGTTGACTATAGTTCTAATTACGAGAGTAGCGGTGTTCTAATTTCAAAAAACCTAACGTTAATGAATTTTCCAATATACCGCGGTCGGTGTAAGCAGCGGCCAGTGTCTCTCGAAGCGCCGACAAACATTGACTATGTAGGCTTCATGTTTGCTCACCGAGCCGTGTCTTCTATACTTTGATTGCTTTGCTTCGTGTCTCTTCATAAAATTTGTTTGCCGCTGCCTTTACGAGTGGAATAACGGATTTTTCTTACTTTCAGTGAGTTGTATATAACGTTATACGACAAGAAATAACATAAACAAACATGTAACATCCACAGCGACGCGCTCGCAGGTCTAATAGTAATAATCTAAGGCTAATAATCAAAGAGCCGTGGGTTTGATCCCCAGTCCCACCGGGTCAATTTATCACGAATCATCATCTACAGATGAAAGAGTCGTGAAGTTTATTCGCGTTTCGGTTTCAGTCTCTGGATTTCCGAATATCCAAAGCCAAAATAGCTCGACAGCGCACCCTGCGTCGATGTTATATGGCTGGGCTATTTCGCCTCCTATTAAGTGAGTCTCATGCTTGTCTGTCCCTCCTATATTTAAACCAGGTAGTCCCCGAAAGATATTTTTAAAACATCAATTATATAGAACTAGAAAAAGACTACCCACGATACAAGCTTGCCCAAGCGTGGGCACTAGGGGCACTATCTGTATAATGTCTGTATATCGAATCTTAATAACTTTGATTTTAATTTTCCGTGCTGTTGTAATGTATATGCGCGATAGGTGCATGTATCAATAAGTTTAAAAAAATTCGACGATGAGGTGTAGGACTCGGTAGCTCAATTGGTAGAGCAACAGCACGGAACTCTGACGATGCCGGTTCAAGTCCTGCCCGAGTCGATTTTTTTTTTCAAAATATTTTCGATTTTTAAATTATATAGTGCCAACATGTGAGAAATATTAACGCTTTCAATAGTAAAATTGGCTGTGTCTTCGTTATTCACTCTTAAGCAGTTTAATACAAAATATATTAATTATTGTATTTTTCGCTTTATATTCGTCACTTTTTTAATGTGTTTAACTGAAACATGAAAAAGATTATTAAAATAATACAATTGAAAATAGTTTTGCGTGCAGAGAATACTGGTTAGGTTTACCCTTTTGATTTAGTTTTACATCGTAAAGGAAGTCGGAACGTTCCAGACAATAAAAACAGAAAACCTCCGTTTATTTGTGATAATGAGCTCTAGGGACCTAAACCTGGAATTAAAAGCGCTGGATAAATATTTGTCTTAGAATACTTTCAAGAGGGTTTTCCGGTGCTTTAGTGATAGAGGATTTGTCTAACTTGACTGGAGGGAAGAGAAATGTTGATTTTTAATGAAGACTTGGATTAGAAGTCACTTGGATTATGAAGTTGTATAACGTTTTCTTAAGAGCCTATTCTCTGAAATGGAAGCAGTCGCAAAAGGTCTATGTCAAAAGACACACAAGACTAAGAGATACTTTGTATACTGTCTGTAGTTTACGCGAATTGTACACATTTAAATAAAACACTTACGGTTTAAAACGATCGCGTTAAACTTATTCGAAAATTGATTTCCCGTGACCATCCGAAACGTCGCCCTGTAGTTAAAATAAGTTTAAGTTTTTAAACCGTTATATAATTAGAGTTTCTATAAATATGTAAACAAAGTATGTTCGCGCGGTAGATCGCGGGTAGGATAGACGTATTTTTGTAATCTGGGCTCTTAAAATCTTTTTTGTGTTGTTTGGCTAAAATCTCAATTCAAAGTAAATGCAAGTACTTACAATAGTGACTCCATGAATAAATAAAATTAAGAATCTGCGAACAACATATCCATAAGGACCGCACGCTGTACAAGTAAGTCAAGACGCACCTACTTCTCACTTCACTTTCACTTAAAAAAGATAATGATATAAACTCTGGCTACTATTATTCGAGGCATCTTAAATCAGTAAGCTGCACACGCTTGCAATTTGCGACCGCTCACTTAGCGAAGTTTTGTCAACTACCCAGTTAGCCAAGCATCGCATTGTGCTGTATTGCGGGTTTGCTAATAATAATAATGGAACACACCTGCGGCGCTTGCTTATCGCAAGTTGACGTTAGAGAAGAGCAAATAATTCAATGCACTCGTTGCGTCCTAATTTATCACCCATTATGTTTGAATATAAATGACCTAGAATTTGATAAACTTGAGCAAGATTATTTAAATTCGTGGGAATGTCCTAACTGTACCAGCAGAGTGCCAAAAATCTCATCGGCAAATGTAGATCGCCTGCCAAGCAGCCCTGCTACCTCCCGCCCGTCCAAAAGAAAGGCACTACTGTCACCGATGTCGGGTTCCGGGAACGACACTCTCACTAATGAAATTAGACTGTTACGAGAAGAAATGCAGGAGATGAAGAGCTGCTTAAAAGAATTCGTGGAAACCGTTGCACAATGCATGTCAAAGACAGTAAATCTGGAAACTCGGGTACTAGAAGCAGAAGCTAAGGTGTCGGCGTTGGAAAAAGAAAATTCTAGTATACCAGGTCTCAAACTTCACATAGCTTCGCTGGAACAACAAGTAAACAATCACCAGAGTTATTTTTTGCGAAACGAAGTTGAAATAATTGGCTTGAATGAACACAGGAACGAAAATCTTCTCCACATAACAAATATTATTGCCCAACGCGTCGGCTTCGAACTAAAACCGGAAGATATAGACTGGGTTACAAGAGTGGGCTCGCTACGGAGCTCTGGTATCGAACAACGACCCCGTCCCGTGGTTTTGCGCTTTACCAGACAGGTGGTTCGCGATGACTTTTTACGCCACACCAAAACTAGACGCAATACTACAACCACTGATATTGAACTCGAAGGCCCCTCACGTATATTATACTTCAATGAACACCTATCGAAGCTTAACAGGCAGTTATTTCGTGAAGCGCGTCTCTTATCAAAAGAAAAGGGCTTTAAATATTGTTGGATTAAAAATGGCAAAATCAAGATACGCCAGGATGATGGCAAACCAGTTCGCACAATATCTTCAAGTAATGACTTATGCCTTCTTAGTAGAATCAATTCTAATGCGCCTGACATTGTATAACAGGCAAAACTTAATAGCAGCAATTGTACTAAATATAAGCTCAGTTCTCTCGTGTATTAAACGTACGTTAAGTAAGTTTATTCGTCACAATCATTGTAAAGTAAAAGAAAAAATTACGTTTTTAGTTACAGCCTTTATTGAAATTAGATGCTATTATTGTATACATTTTGTGACTCACTTGTTAAAATTTAACTCGAAACCACCACATACTAACCAATACATATATCTATTAAACACTTATAACTATTTTCCTCCCTCTAATAACGATTTCCAAGAGACATATAAATGCACCCAGCCTGATGCAAATAATAATTACGTTACTGGTATCTACAAACCCTACCTACTACTCTATATATTATACAGTATTAAACAACTCAAGAGTGAATACTTCCACTTAACTATCTGTCTTAACCTATTGTACTATTTTATAATAACATAGCGGACCTTCAAAGGGATATTGACAATTCATTTCCCGTTGCTTGTCACTCTTTTGATACCCTTGAACAATGTAAAAGCTTTTTTGTATACTCAAACGGCTTTAAATTACTGACAGTAAACATCAGAAGCCTTAAAAAAAATTTTGACAGTCTTCTTGTAACTTTGCAATGCCTGGAAACTTCATTTGATATCATAGTGTTAACTGAATGCTGGTTGAGTGATCTCACTCTCTTAAGACAAATACCTGGCTATACTTCACATAGAACACATAAATATATTAATAAAAACGGGGGCGTGGTTGTTTACACAAAATCGTCCTATGACATTTCGGTACAAGAACCAGACCTGGAAAATGCAAATGGTCTTTTATTGGGCCTAGGGAAGTCTACTACAATATTAGGAATATACCGATCGCCGTCTTTCAGAGATCCTACTGCGTTTCTCCAATCACTAAACTCGTTGCTTAGTAAAATTAACACTTTTTCATTAATTGTAGCGGGAGATATGAACATAAACATATTAGCAGAAGATTCCACAGGACACTGTAACGAATATTTATGTGTGATGGCACGATATGGGCTACTTCCAGTGATTAACACTCCAACCCGAGGCGAAAATTGCATAGATCATATATTTGTTAAATCTAAATCGGCCCCAACTGGTTTGGTAAGTAGTCACTCACTTACAGATCATAATTTATGTATGGCCATTATTCCACTTGACACTGTCATAAGAAAGGGACAGAACACACAGATAACAAAGACAAACTTTAGGGAAGTGGCCAAATCATTAGCAACACAAGATTGGCATACGGTAACTAGTGCAATAACTACAAATGCTGCTGCAGATATATTCAGAAAAATACTGAACTCAATAATTGAACGGCACACTAATACCGTGAATTTAGGAAGAAAATATGTCTTATTGTGTCCATGGATGACACCGGGGCTAAATCGATGTATACTGCACCGGGACAAATTACATAGGGCGTTAAGAAATTCTCCAGATGACAAAAATCTAGAAACAACATACAAAAGGTACAGAAATTTTTGTAACAAGATTATAAGAGACACTCGTGACGCATATAACAACAAAAAACTGATGCAGAATAAAGACAATCCAAAAAAGCTGTGGAAAACTATTAATGAATTATGTGACAGAAACCCAAAAACAAAGGTAACTTGTGACCCCGTTGAACGCCGTAATAAAGCGAATTCATTTAATAAACATTTCGTCAGTATTCCAGACGCATTAACCAGAACCATTTTAAATAACCTTAGTACAAATAAAGGAAATCATATACGCAACACAACATCTAGAAACAATATTCCTGACTCTCTCTTTCTGAATCCAACTACGCCAGACGAAATTCTATCTCTCATAAATAATTTAAAAAATGGCAGTGCTCCTGGTTCTGATTCCTGTACTCCGGAGCTAATTAAATCTGTCAAAACTCATATAATAGTACCACTTACACATATTTTCAACCTTAGCTTAAGCGAAGGTGTATTTCCGGAGTGCTGGAAGCACTCCATTGTGATTCCAATCCACAAATCAGGAGATACAGATAATCCAAACAATTATAGACCCATATCTCTCCTTTCTATGTTTTCTAAACTGCTAGAAAAAATTGTAAATAAAAGACTTACGGCATTTTTCTCAATGCATAAAATATTCTCTCCCAATCAATTCGGTTTCCGCCAAGGTAAGTCAACAGAAGACGCCACAGTTAAGCTTACAGACACAGTACATGACTATTTGGACAAGTACAAATGTTGTGTTGGTGTGTTTTTAGACATTTCTAAAGCTTTTGATACGGTTTCGACAGACATGCTTTTAAACAAACTTGAAAGGGCTGGGGTTCGAGGATCGGCCTTAAACTGGTTTGCTACATACCTTCAGGGTAGAGTTCAAAATACTAAGCTGTTGGACACAATCAGCGACAAACTTCAGATTAACTATGGTGTGCCACAGGGAAGCGTCTTGGGTCCCACGCTATTCACGCTCTACATAAATGATCTGTTACTTCTTGACATAAAAAATGGTGAACTTATATGCTATGCTGATGATACTGCTATACTCTTTCGGGGAAATTCATGGAAAGAAATTGTTGAAACGGCAGAACAAGGATTACGTACAGTACAAAATTGGTTGCAGGGAAATCTTCTAACGTTAAATCTAGAAAAAACAAAATTTTTAAATTTTCACAAACTTAAAGCAAAGACTCCAATGTTACCCCCAAAATTGAAAATTCACTCTTGCTTACTTAGTCCACAGTCACCCGATTGTGATTGCCATGAAATTAAAGCTGTCAATAGCATAACTTACCTGGGTGTGGTTGTTGATGATAGGCTGAGGTTTAAAGATCACATTTTAAAGCTGACGGCCAGAGTAAGGAAATTTTTATACATTTACAGGAAAATAAGTAGATGTGCACCATGGAATATCATTAAGGTGGTCTACTTTTCCTTGTGTCAGTCTATCATAACATATTGCATCGCAGTCTGGGGCGGAAGTGCTAAAACATACATGATAAACCTTGAAAGAGCACAAAGAGGAGTTATTAAAGCAATGCTGAAACAACCAGTAATGACGCCTACCGAACTCATTTACAAGGAAGCGGGGTTGCTCAGTGTCAGACAGCTATATGTACTAAAATCTGCAACTATAACTCACACATCAGTAAGGAGTTCAGCTGAATATGAAAACCTTTTATCAAAACGAGTGTACCAAGTGTGCCTTCCTACAATCAAATCATACAAAGTCATACGGCCTCCTAAATTCTTACATATTCAAATATACAACAAGGTAGTCAAGTCCTGCAATATAAAACATTTGCATCACAACGCTGCATATAACATAGTAAAAAAATGGCTCCATACATTAACATACGACGAAACAGAAAAAATCTTACATACTCTCCAGTAATCTTACACTTTAAAACATACTCCCTCCATATGTATAACCAGAAACACTATATATTCTCACGTCATACATTGTTTAACAAATAATGCTTACAATATAAAATAAACATATAATCTAGGGACTGTATATCTATTTTTTAATATAACTCGTCTATCCTATAGCTAACACGGTTTTGAGTGGTTCCCATAAGACAGGCATTGCCTAGTTTGGGATCACATTAAAAACAAATTAAATATACATCCACTTGCACAAGTAGCACATATGTTTCTAGTATCACATACTCTTTAGATATACTGTACTACACTTTTTTATATATAGTGAGTCTATAAGACAAAGTTTATTGTGATTAAAATAGATAAATCTTTATACCACTATCACTAGTTTGTATAGATTTTAGTTTTAACAGATGTGTATTAAATATGTAAAACCTGTGTGTAAAATAAAATAAAATAAATAAATAAAATGTGAATTTTTGGAATACATAAGATGCTATTCTTCTTTTTATTTGTCATTTAGTAAAGCCCCCTAAATGAAGTGTGAATTGGACATAATTATGTTTGTGTCTATCTTTATTTTTTCGATTTTATTTATAGGTGAGTTTCTCAACATTTGTGCCTTGGGTGTTCTAAGGTATTTAAAATTTATTTTTTACATTGTATAAATAAAATTCTTCAGACTTAATAATATGTTTATCTAGGAACGAGAGGTTTCAATTTGAAAGTCCGAACTGTATCAGAAAATATTCTAAAAAACAAATCCAAACAAGCGGCTTTTCCAGGTGCGGTCAGTGGTTTGTAATTCAGACGGAAATTTAGAGATGATTATAACCCAATTTTAGACACGTCGCAGGGAATCGAATCTAGAACTCGTTGATAAAGTACATTGCCACTTTTGCTACTTTGCGAGTCCGTCAATAACCACGTAAGTTGTTTCCTGTTTTGGTGAATAAGTAATTTGTATTGACTTCCCTCTAGTCCAATAGTTAAACGTATAGCCTATCCATCACGAGATAACCTAGGTTCGAAGTCTGGAAAACAATATTTTATTGTTCGGACATCGTGCTGTGGGTCTAACCAATTGAGCTACCGTGTCCTACACATAATCGTCATTTTTCACATGATACATGCCCCACTGGTGCAATGAACTTGCTTGAAAATGACAAAGGAAATGCGTTTGCACTTGGAGCAGTTCGATTTCCCCTATTTATGGAAGCCGTATCCAGGATCTATATAACGATTAAAAGTAACAGTGCAGTTAGACACAATAGATGAGCGCTGTCGACGTTAATTGGTCGTGAGGACGCCGCTGCCGTTAGATTACACCTTTCTTTATTTTTATTTTACAATCTACACGAGCTTTGATAACTGAACGGTCTCTATAGACAGCAAAAGCCAAGGATAGAGAAACAGAGAGAGGCAGTTACTCCTAGGAGGTTACTTAGGGTTTACCCTGAGATAGCGTTGAAGTGAGTTGGTTGTTTTTTGATAGAGAAGGACAAGCAGGGGATTTACTTGGAAGGTCAGATACCTCATCCACATGACAACGTGACGAGAATGCACTGCCGACCCTTTGGCCTAAGATTTATTATATATATATATATATATAAAATAATATTATAATATTATATATATATATATATATTATAAATTGATTAGAAGCCTGTTGGACCCGTTAGGCATCGAATCTACGGGCCGTTGATTGCTACCACTATACCAACGGGCCCGTCGACAGATGATTATCGCCTCCGGTAGGGTTGGTGCTACCAGCTTGAATACAAATAGTGTAGTTCTATCCTCTTCACGTCACCAATGCCCGACATAAACGATAGTGGTATAGCATTTCGTCACAAATTGATGTCATCACCTTGTGTTGATGTTCAATACTGAGATAATGGCTGAGAAATAGTCCTAGACTTCCAGGTTTATTTCTCAGTAATGACAGTCGAACAGCTATTTATCCGCGTTTTAAGCCATTAAAAGTATTCTCTTTAAACAACAAACATGCTATTATACTATGCATATTGTCTGGAATATATTTTGATTATTTATCAGCACTCTAGTTTACGTAGTACCTATTAAAATATTACCCTTTTAACGGTTTAAAACGCGGAATATTTTTGTTATTTTAAATCTAGTTTGTGTCCCCCGCTGTTCTATTTAAACTTTTCTCTCGTTTAAAAATTCAATCTCCCGAAAACGTAAACAAAGGACTCGAATTTCGTTACGTCCTTAAACGTAACAAATACGCAGATGGACGTGAGGTGAAAGTGTTCGCGAAGGGCTGGCTTCCGTTACAAAAAGGGGCAATAAATTTAAATAGGAACGTGAAGAATCTCACAAGTCACGGAAAATCTTTAAGCGGTTCTAGTTAAGAAAACATCTATATAACTTAGTTATGTTAGAGAAATTCTCCAATTATTTTTACAGAGATGCACTTGATTATATAAGAAGACGAAGAAGAAGATGCGCCTTTGACCGATTTTGGCTTTGGACATTCTGAAATCACAGACTAAAACCAAAACGCGAATATACACTTTACTATTTTGTTTGTGGACTGTTTAAAGATATCTACATTTAGATTTTTTTAACAGAGTCCAGACGATGATGGAAAGATAATGATACGGCTGGAGTATTCCACTGTGGAATACTGCAGTCCTATAACATATAATAATGCTGCATGACGGCTTCTTCTACCCTCTGTGACCACGGCTACTGCGAAGCATGTTGGGCCGTAATTAAAATAAGTTAACTAATGTATTTCGTGAATTAGTGTAAACATGTATGGGGCCACAGAACATCAATGTTGGGACATTAGTCCCTACGTACTAACTGAGTGGACTTCCTTTTCAGAGGCAACTTTTCTCTTTAATTTTACCTGTATTAGTTTATTTATTATGTTTATAATTCTTAAAACCCAGATCAAGTGTCTAGACTGCGGAGGGCCAATCACCAGCCCAGTCGAAAATACATAAGATTATGAAACCAAAAGTCGAGGAAACCGGACCAACCCCCTCTAAACGACCTGGCAAGAATAAGGACAATGAGTTTCGCCTATGTACATGGAATGTAAAAACCCTGAATAGACTTAAGTGACTGGGACATGTACACAGAATGGCGGATGAAAGAGTACCAAGGTCCTTGCTGAACTCGCAACCAGGTGGTAAACGAAAGCCCGGCAGACCGAGGCCCCGCTGGTGGGATGGAGTCCAAAACTGGAAGAAGGAAGCACGAGACATATCGCAATGGCGGAAACGCCTAGAGGAGGCTAGAGCCCACGAATCTAATTTAAATCCCAAAAACTCCGCTGGGCTGGCCATTTGGAGAGAATGGGAGATGCTCGGAGTGTCAAGAAAGCGTATATCGGAATTCCAACTGGCCGCCGACCTGTCGGCCGGCCAAGATATCGCTGGAAGGATGCCGTGGAGAAGGACCTGCGCGAGCTCGGTGTACAGTGAACAGCCGCACAGGATCGGCAAAAATGGCGCTCTTTAGTTTCGGAGGCCAAGACTCACTTTGGGTCGCTGCGCCAGCGATGATGTAGATGAATAATAATCCCCGTTTTTTTTAAACATTTCCCGCTGTTTCTTCGCTACTGTGATTCACAGCACAATGCTTTATAGCCTTTATAGCCTTCCTCGATAAATGCTCTAACCGACATAAAAACTATACAATTCGAACAAGTAATTCCTGAAACTAGCGCGTTCAGACAAACTCTTCAGCTTTATATATTAGTATACATTTAAGCTTGAAATAGAGAATCTTGACTGATACTAGCATGATAGAGTAAAATCGTCAGACAAAAGGCAGCCACTTAAGTAATAAGGTAATTAATGGGCAGCCTATCCCTACTAATTAACCTTCGCTGTGGCAAGCATAAATCCTCTCAAACTATACATTATTCTTCGTTACTCCGGGAGAACTGTTTTTTAGAATGTTCATTATTTTTAGAGAAATTATTCGACGCTACACACTTGTATACTAGATTGAGAATCTGTTTAGATAGAAAATAATCGAGGTCTAGGTTCGGCGGTACTTTAGTCGTTGTCAAGTCAAAAACTTATAATTTAATTTTGATAACAAAGGATACATATAAAGGAGTATTGAAAACTTCGAGAGCAAAAAAATAATTGGTAAATAAAATCAATATGTTCAAATACGTGTCTACCTAAGCCCTGGCACCAACTCAGGTCAGGGGAGGGGTCACGACCTCCATTGTTGGAAACAAAAAAATGTTTCGGTCGGGCAGGGCACAGATGTCTGATCAACTACTTGCCTGTTAAAGAACGGATCAGTGAAACGGGCAGAGAAATGCGTTCGCCCCATGCCCCACAAGGGGGAAACGGGATTTCACTACACGTATCATGTGCAACAAAAACGTGGACATAAAACTATAAACAAATCTACTATTTAGATATTTTTATATCTAAATAGTAGTTTTTTTTTATAATAAAAACTAGCTGACCCGGCAAATGTTGTTTTGCCATATAAATAATTTTACTTATATATATAGTTATTTTTGATCGTAGAAGGGTGAAAATTAAAAATTTTGTCTAAAAAATAAAAAAATTGGGGTGGACTACCCCTAACATTTAGGGGGATGAAGGATAGATGTTGGCCGATTCTCATAGATACCGGATAAGCACAAAAAAAATCATCAAAATCGGTCAAGCCGTTTGGGAGGAGTATGGCAACGAAAACTGTGACACGAGAATTTTATATATTAGATGTTAGAATGTTTCATATAAGACACCAATTGTTTCCTACATATGTTCACATCTCATTTATGGCAGTGTTGTGTATAATTCTAATTTAAGTACAAAATCGTTAGTTTAAAAAGCAGCTTTTTCGTTCATACAACTATTGCCGGCCTCTGCGTGACCAGACCAGAGCAATTTCGATTTATCTCGAAGCAGGTCAAAGAATACTCATATGTACAAGCATTTTTTTATATAATAAGTTTTTTAATTTAATCTCATTTGCTGGCAAGTGTTTCAGATTTTGCCCCGTGCAAACCATTTACCATCTTGGGATCCAAATCCGGGACCTAATTACTCCCAGTTGTTGCAGAAATGCTTTGAAGTTCTGTCCACTTAAATGATGGATGAGATCGCCTGTATGCTGTATATATTTATTTATTGCGTTTCATCATTTATTGCGTGGCCATTTTGATGGATGAGATATTGGGGTGCAGTTTAATTTTGGTATTCATATTGTTTGCTCCTTTGTAATTTTTGTAGTTTTAATATTAACAGTCATTTAACAACATTAAATGTGAAAATGATGTTGGTACATAATGTCTGCGGAAACGGAAAATTTAAGATTCAAATGTTTTTTTAATATGACCCGAAGTGACTTATCATTAAGCTAATATATTTCCATTAAATATGGTTTTTCATATTTTGATACTTTTTATTATTAGTTTATTTCAAAGGGTGACACTATTATAGAAACAGTTGTGTGTGCGGCTGTTTCTCAAGAACCGAAATAGCTAGCGAGTTAAAATGTTAACTTCTGTTGCCGTTGTTAAACTAAATAAAAAAATTAACATATAGTATAGGGGCACCAATGCTACTAACTCGCTTTTTTTTAACCCAAGAAGGGTTACAAGATGAGATTTGTATAGGTATCTATTGAAGACCGAGTGTGCCACGGTCTTGGTGCATCGCTGATCTTATTCACGATTAATTTTGTCAATCTATGTTACATTCATAAATTACATACATAGTAAAATTCAAATAAAACACTTTAACGGTTTAAAACGCGATATATTAGTTAAACTTATTTGAGATTGATTTTAACTTCGGCCCGACATTTCGGATGCTTTGCAGCAGCCGTGGTCACGAGGAGACTTTAAATGTGTACTACTCGCGTAAAGTATAGACAGTATTACATAGTGATATGTTAGTAATTTGTGCTTTTTGTGCAGTAAGAATATTGTTTATGAGCCGCTCTCTGCCCTACTCTTAGACTATACGAAAATAAGAATAGACATTTGCGACCCACTACATCTGAAAATAGGTTAAGCCCCACTAATAAGGAAGCAGTCGATCCATCAACTTGAAGGCTTTTTTGTACCTCACTCTCGTTTTGAAATGTGCTCGCTTCTTTTTTAAATATCTTTTTGCAAATAATTGCTTTGTCTAATTCTGTTTAAATCGGCTTATATGATTTAACTTTTTAAATAAAACACTTTAACGGCTTAAAACGTGATATATTAGTTAAACTTATTTGAAAATTATTTTTAACTCCGGCACCGACGTTTCGGATGCTTTGCAGCAGCCGTGGTCCCGGGTAGACTCCCTGTGACCACCAAATATCATTTTCAAATAAGTTTAACTAATATATCGCGTTTTAAACCGTTTAAGTGTTTTATTTAAATGTGTACTACGTCGCGTAAACGAAACGACGGATTTAAGATTCCGTAATGTTAAATAATCATGTCTAAAACAAATTAGACATTAAATACTATAAAAAAAAATACATCGCGTTTTAAACCGTTAAAGTGTTTTAGTATAAAGGTGTCTATATTAACAGTTTTACTATCACAAAGTGAATTTCTTTGTTGACAATCGGAAATGAATTATATATTTGGTTCGACGTCGCAGGGCCCATTCCAACCATTTTATTGGTGTATTTGAACTTCAATAGGGCGCATCAGGTGTGAAAAATGGTGTCGGTTTTCGGTAGATGAGTTTTTCTTGGCTGACTGAGCTGAAATTCAGTGAATGTTGAGTATGTTTAATGTTCCGCTATTTGGATTGTCCTTTTGTGTGAGTGAAATATTTTATTTCCGACTGAGCATTGAATTTGGGAAGTCAATATAACACTTATTAGCTTTTTATCGTGAATACTCAAATGAAAATTAAGCTTTAGTATTTTATAAATAAAATACTTATTTAATAATATTATTTTTTTAAATAAAACAATTTTAACGACTCGCGACTTGTTAGCAGTTAACTTTAACTACGACGTTTAGGACGCTGTGGTCACGGAGGGTATTTATTTCTAACTATTTTCGTGATAGCTCTACCATAACTAAAACTATGTTGTCAGTATTTATAATATTTTTCTGGTCCGAAATTAAGCTTAGACTCTCATAAGAGTGCTACTATGTTTGTTAAATTATTATTCAGATTTATTAAAACCTAAGTAAGTAAATTAGGGTATATTTTTAGGGTTCCACACAAGGGTATTAAAAAAAAACTGTTTTGTTTCTTTTTTACTTGCTCCGGTTGCTTATTATAACTGGTACTATTTCTTGTATCTGTTCTGGCAGCTAATTAGTTGAATTTTAGAATTATGTATTATAATTAATTAAACAAAAAAATAGTCCAAATGATAGCCATTTAAAATAACAGAAGGTAACGGTCAAAAATATGAAGTTTGTGTAATCAACAGTACGGAACCCTCTTGCGAAAGTTAAACTCACACTTCGCCATTTTTTTTATCGTAAGTCGGTTGTATTTGTTTACATGATATATTGTTGTTCATTAGTCAGGTTGTATTTGTTTACCATTGATATATTTATAATTTTGTTATCACCCAATCTATATGGCATATTTAAAAAAAACGTGACAAGATGACCCCACAACTCAGGTCGGATCTAATCTGTATCGATCCCCAACTCCGTCCCTTGGAAATAAACTCAATAAGCATTAAACCTTGCAAATTCTTGTCTTTG